CAATTGTAAAGAAGCTGTAAAATAAAGCTTATATTTATTCAAGAACTGTATGATAAAATAATATTTTTGTAATTAACTTTTAGGTACTATTATATTTTGTTTCGTGCCGTTCCTTGCTAGGTTCTCATGTTTCACGAAGTCATGTAATACTATTTGAATAGACTGCTAAATCCTTGTTTAGCTTGAATGGCTCAGAAATTGATTATGGAGAGGTTTTTCTTGCGGAGGGGTCAAGAATTAAAGCTCATGATTTTTTTTTTTTTTTTGGAAAAGCTTGTGATTGTTTTTTTTTGAAAGATAGATGATGGTAGGTAAGAGGGAGAGCGCTGTGCTGTCTTCCCATGCATTTCACTTCCCTCTGACGGTGGCTCCTGGCTTCTCTTGCAGAGTTCGCTGGGGTGCTGCACCAGTGTCACGTGCTGGCCTCTGAGATGGTCCATTTCATCCATCAGATGCAGTATTACATCACGTTTGAGGTACGCTTTAATCATCCTGTTTATTTTAGTTAAGTCCTGTCTTAGGCTGTTGTGTGATATATTCTATTGAAGATACTACACTAGGAAGAACACAGCCTTATCTAAAAGTTTTGCATCATTTCCTAGGTGCTTGAATGTTCTTGGGATGAGCTTTGGAACAAAGTCCAGCAGGCCCAGGACCTGGACCACATCATTGCAGCACACGAGGTGTTCTTGGACACCATCATCTCCCGTTGCCTGCTGGATGGCGACTCCAGGGTGAGACTCACTGTTTAGAAACAAGGAGCCAGAATAATAATATTCTTTTCTTGGGTTCCTGTCAAATGGAGAATCTTAGAAATCACCTGGTACAGCCACATTGCTAATAATTAAGACACTTTTACTAAAAGTTTGATGTCTGAGGTACTTTGTTTCTGAACAGAATTGGAACAGTAGTGCTGAAACAAGAACATGCCCTAAAACATCTGAAAGGGACATAAAAATAGTAGAGAACAATAATACCGGTTCACTTCCAAGGTGTAAGAGTAGTATTTTGTTGTGTTCAAAAGAGGACAGTTAATCATGAATGATGGTTCTGAGTTGTGGACGGAGAGATGCTATCTGAGCAGGAAACCAAGCAAAGCAGTGTAACAGCAGAACCAGTGTGACTGGTGTGAAAGTCCAGAGGAGCGGGGGGAAGACACGAAGACGCTCTGAGTTCTGTGTTCACTTTTCTGTATTTCACCTTCATTAGGTCAGCATCTGGTGAAGTGGGGGCAGCGTTTCAAGTGCGGTTTTTACATTAAACATGCGACCTGAGACATTCTTCAGGCNAAAGTATACATTGCTACTATTATTTTTTACACACCTCTCTATATGTTCCACTTCCTCGTTACTTTAAGAAGGGGCAAGACTGATGTCTGGCATAACTGCATGCATAACAATCTCTCTAACCTTTTATTAGGTAGCTAAGTGAGGGCAAGTAGAGAGGTAGCAAAAATGGGTCTGATATGACCTGTGTTATAAAGTTGTCCTGTGATTATTGTGCTGATGGGCCTATCTCTGATTTGAACCATCAAACATGTTATTGTAACAACATTCTAGAATAGTCTTTGAGCAAGAAGTTAACAGTGCAGGCAGAGAACTGTGCTCCGAGGTGACCTTCCAGCCTTTGGATAGTTGTAGAATCTTGTAAAGTTTCAAAGTAGAGTCTGGGCTCATCCTTGACCTCCTTCAAAGGCTCGTTATTTCTCACAGATGGCAGGGCCACTTTCAGTTCCTTAAAGAAATGTCACTTTTGTTTCCAAATAGCTAGGGAATAGTAAATGTACGCAAGTAGGAAGACCAATTGTAAAGAAGCTGTAAAATAAAGCTTATATTTATTCAAGAACTGTATGATAAAATAA